TCAAAACTCTGGCAATTTGATAATACCTAGAATATCAAAATCAACTGAGGGTGGCAGATCATTTTCCTATTTAGCGCCCAAACTCTGGAATAACCTACCTAACATTGTTTGGGAGGCAGACACACTCTGTCAGTTTAAATCTAGATTAAAGACCCATCTCTTTAACCTGGCTTACACGTAACACACCAACACATTTCTAATATTCAAATCCGTTAAAGGATTTCTAGGCTGCATTAATTAGGACAACCAGAATCATTTATGGGACACTTCCCATAAAACGCGATGTACTTGCTACATCATTAGAAGAATAACATCTACGCTAATATTAGTCTGTTTCTTTCTTATTCCGAAGTCACCGTAGTCACCAGATCCAGTCTGTATCCAGATCAGATGGTCACTGCAGTCACCCGGATCCAGTACGTATCCAACCCAGATGGTGGATCAGCAGCTAGAGATGATCTCTACAGCCCTGAATGTCAGTGGAGATCAGGATAACTAGATGAGCCCCAGAGACAGATTCCCAGTGAAGACCTTGTCTCCTAGATGGCCACCGGGACAAGACCACAGGAACCAGATGAGTCCTCTGCACAATGTGACTTCCCTGCAGCCTGGAACTGAGCTGCTGGTTTCATCAGGCCAGAGGAGAACTGGCCCCTCGACTGAGCCTGGTTTCTCCCAAGGTTTTTTCTCCATTCTGTCACCGATGGAGTTTTGGTTCCTTGCCTCTGTCGCCTCTGGCTTGCTTAGTTGGGGACACTTTATTTACAGCGATATCATCGACTTGATTGCACAGATACTATTTAAACTGAACTGACCTGGATGATGACATCACTGAATTCAATTATGAACTGCCTTTAACTGAAAATTGAGTGTCTATTATTGTCATTTTGCATTATTGACTAAGGCCATGTCCACACGTACACGAGTTTTTCCTTCTTCTGTTTAAAAAAAAATCTCCGTCCACACGAAAACGTAAATGCATGCTGTGACGCACTGTCAAGAGCATGCCTAACCAACAGTCTCCGTCCACACGAAAACGAAAATGCATGCTGTGACGCACTGTCAAGAGCATGCCTAACCAACAGGTGGAGATAATCTCAACCGTAAAACCATGTTGGCCAATCAGAAGCCTGAAAAAGTTTCCAGTAGGCGGAGATAACAGCACAGGCTCCAACGTCACAAGCCAAAAACTCCAGTTTCGCTGTCTACACGATAACACTGCAATCGGAGTTTTTGAAAATCTTCACCCTGGCAGGCGTTTTCAAAAATGTTCGGTTTCAGTGAACTGGTGCTGCATTTGCGTGTGGACGAACAGCCAAACCGCGTAGAAAAAGCTGCGGTTTTCAAAATAACCGTGTTCGTGTGGACAGGGCCTAATATTCTCTGGGTCTCAATCTGGCTCAAATTGATAAGCAATATAGACAACACCATTGTTTAAAATACAACCAGAGCACATGGCACTGGGGTGAGGGGCGGGATGTTTAGACGCGCACTGGAGGCAGTTTAGTCAATCACAACACACTGGACCGGCTAACCAATCTGAGCCTATTGCGTATTTCTGAGGGAGGGGCTTCATAAAAGCAGGAAATGATCAGTGCGTTTATAGGAGAAGGGACAGTGCGGTGTGGAATAAAGGTAAATAATGTGAAAAATAATGTGTTTTTTTTAAAAACGAAGCATTAACACATGTTAGACTGCACCCCATAAACACAGTCAAGCCTAGAAAAAAAACAGTCAACCACCCCTTTAAAAATAAAGTTAATCAAATAAAGTTTATCGTTTGGTTTCTACGTAGACCCGTGTTTGCCTCTTGTTATTTACACTACATGTGTGAATCGGTGGGCAGTGCTAAACAGGCAGCGATGTAGAAGCAGGCATTGATCTTGGTGTTTAGCCATACTATTACATCATAGAGTGACACATTCCACAACCTGTTGTTTTGGCAGATTGGCTTCAATATAAGCTGTTTTTAGACTAACAAGAAAGATTTAAGTTCTGAAAATTACAGAAAGTTTTTATAGCACAATGACCTCTTATATATCAAAAGATCAAGCAAATTTTTATTTCTCAGTTCATGACCATTTCAGTTATGTAGGGGATGCCAGGGCATCACTATGCAGTTACTAAGGAGTTCTGAATTGTTGTTAGTCTGTTGCTATGCTGTTGTTAGAGTTTTGCACCATCACGCCTCTAAACTCTCTGAAAAAAAAATGGTACAAAACTTGTCACGGGGTGGTACAACTTCCAAAACTACACTTTGGTACTTTATTTAGCCTTCATATCAGTACCTCAAATGTAATATTAGATAAATGGTCCCTTTTGAAATGGTACTGTCCCAGACAGATTCCTTTTGACAGTGTATAATTTTCTTGTCTCTAGATATGGATTCGGCCCCTCCTTCAGTGTAAATCAAAGGGAATTTTTTCACTCGCTTTATCAAATTTCAAGTCTGAGCGCTTAGAAAAGCAACAGCACAGGTGTTAGATTTGAGTTCACACAAGTATGAGCAGTATCATAATGACACAGATTACAGACATTCGTTAGACACACTGAAACACATACAGTGTTCAGAATCACATGCGACTGAAATATTTTGGGAAGGCTGAAGCCTGAAGCAGAAATCAATGGCGCAGCAGGGGAGCAAGTGTTCAGTCAGTGAACTGATGGACATCATGAGGTGGGGTGGGGTGTCCTGTGGTTACCCTGACAACCGGCATGTCGACGGGGAGAGGGCGTGATGGAGTCACAGGGATCGATAGCTTACTTAGTTACAAAAGATGCTATTTCACAAGCCAGTGGTCAGCAGGCCCCCGAAGTCAGTTGCCTCAGATAACTGTTTGTTAACAAGTAAACTGTGGCCAAAGAAAGCACATCCGACGCTCCAGTGACAGCATGGAGACGCTACTTAATTGGCTTTTAGCACCTTTCCAGAAAAGAAACCAGAGCGAGAAGGAGAAAAGAGAAAAGCTGAGAGGCAGAGTGAGATGCAGCCTGTCCTATTATCTGTGTATTGATGATGACTTGGATGGGATTCCATCAGTTCATCTCTTCCTTGAGTCTCACAGACACCTGATTGGACTGTTGTGTTATAAGGAAGGAACTGTGGGTAATGGAGGTCTAGGATTTCGCCTGGCTACCGGTTACTAAAGGACTTTTGACAGTGTAGAAAAGGCCTTGGGGTCATCAGCACTGGGTTGGCAAAACATGAAAGAAGATTATCAAGCTTTCAGGTTTGGTGTGCAATATTAATTTGGCAAGAGTGCATGATCCTAAACATGCCTTAAGAGTTTCAGAATTTACTCATTTTGTGTCCACAGATGGAAGTCGTACACCTGCAAAAACATGAGATAGTTTGAAGAATTCTCATGCTGCTCTTTTCCATATATTTACATGCAGCCAAATAATCAATTTGCACTGGGATTGATGGCTTAATTGGACTGAAAATACATAATGTAAACATCTCAGTTGATCATATCACATTCAAAAAATACCTTGCCCACATGCATAGAGACGTGATGGGTATGTTGACATACAATTAACATACAATTAGCAACATGGTCGTCGGAGCAGAATGAATATTTATTAAATATTTGCTAAAAAGCTCTTCTGACTTAAATGTCAGCTTTCTTTTTAGATATGTCAAGGCCCTAGTGACATTGTGGTGGCTTTTCCTGTGGTGACTGGGTTTTGTTTGGAATACATGTAAAGCACATGTAAACAAATATGTGAATTGGACTGCAACATTTAACGTTTATAGAAATGTAGTATAGGTGTAGAAACATACCTACTATCATGCTTCAGAATGACCAAAAAACCTATAAAATTTATCCACAGTACCTAGTAAATGACCTAGTACAGTGGTGGCGAACGTCAGTCCTGGAGAGCCACAGTCCTGCAGAGGTTTGCTTCAGCCTAATCAAACACACCTGAGCATGCTAATCAAGATCTGAAGGGTTACAAAAAAGCTGCAGGCAGGTAAGTTTTTTATCAGGGTTGGAGCTGTGCTCTGCAGGACTGTGGCTCTCCAGGACTGGAGTTTGTCACCCCAGACATAGTGAATAGTAAATTTTCATTTTTGGGTGAACTATCCCTGTAGGTAACTATCACTGCTGATTGATTGTTGAGTTGAATATTGTTAAATGGGTTGCATAAATGGTCTAACCTGGCTGCTCCTCCTCGCCCTTCCTCTTTTCCTTCTCCAATCGCAGTGCATCTTCTGGGCTAACATGCCTGCCCAGCTCATCCCGAGGGATAATGCGTCCATGGAACGGGCACTGAAATTACAACTCATTTAATTCAGCCATTTATTCAATCAGTGTCCTGCTTATATCTATTTATTTACACAATGAAATAAAAATACGTTTCTACCATTCTACCAAACACAGCTAAATATGGGAAAAAATATTCAGCATTACATCTCTTCTGTGTATTTTTTAGGGCATCATTATTGTTACTTTTCTGACCTTTACTCTGTCTTGGCGTTCACACAAAGATTCATTTGGCATTGGTGCTTTGCACTTGTGCTCCACAGGTTTAAATTTCCCAGCAAAGGTGATATATCTAGACTTCATCTCAGACAGTTCCTCGTTTTCTACTTCCTCCTCCACCTCATGAGGCACCCAGAACTGGTGCTGTGATGCCTTCCTAAAAACCAGTGAGGACAGGGTCTTAGTAAAGGAACTGCACAAACTCTATCAATGTGTGATCTTTGACAATTTAATTTTAAAAAAAACCTTCATATAGAATCTGCCTTCACAAAGTGCATTTTTTGCAGGGGAAATATTTTAGGGGTGAGCATAACTTGTAAAATTTATTTTTAGTATAGAAATCATGGAATTTCTATAGTATAGAATAGTATGGATTTTCTCAGGACTTTCGTAGATTTCCATGACTTTTCCAGGCCTTAAAATTACAATTTACAGGTCTTCCATGACCGCAGAAAAAACTATATTGTATTAGGATGTAAAAAAAATTAAACCTCCAGATCAATGTTTTCATCATTTAATTTTGAGGAATAGAAGTTAGTGTGTTAGTGTTAGAAGTGTTAGTGTTAGAAGTCAGTGTGCATACAATGGTGCTCTCTAGTGGCTACATCACATATCACAATCCATTCATACTTCAAAAAGAGACTGATGAATGTGTTACGTAAAACATTCACAATGTTTCTTATGAATGAGACTGTACTTGATGATTTTGCCAGCAGTGGGCTGCTCCTCTCCCCAGCTGTAAAGATCCACACCAAACCGAACGACAAGGGTCTTAACAGAGGCTTTGTCTTTGTTTATGTCCCCCTGGTCACTGCTGCACACTGCGACCTCAGTAGAGCCCCCAGACATACCGAAACAACCAGAACACACTTCAATCTCCAAAACAACAACAATAATTAAAAAAAAAAAAAGTTTTTTTATTATTTATTTTGTATTTTAAATACTATATGAAATATATAGTTTTATGAATATTTCCATATAAAAATAAGAAAAAACTTTAAAAAATGTCTTGTTTTCTCAGATTTCTCTCACTATATTTGAAAACATTCTGTTATTTTAATCATTTTGAGCATTTGATCATTTCCAAATGTTTTTTTTTTTAGCCCTAGTGTATACCAGTCTATGTTACCTGATAAAATAGGGCATGGAATTGTGAATTGGCATGGATCACCTTGTTGAAGGAGTAGAATGAATCCTGTGTTTGAGCACACGCAGCGTTGCAGCAGCACGGGTGGGGTCCTGCTCTTCATCATACATCTTCCTCTTGAGTCGAGACAGACTGGAGGACACAAGAGGAACAGGATGTTTGACCACAGGTTTTGATGGCTTGGCTATGGCCCCAGAGGTTGACGTTGAGGGAGTTTCATCAAGTCCTATTAGATACAAGAGGAAGAAGGAAACTATATGATGTTACGTAAGGTCAAATATTCAGAACACATAATTCCGACTTGTAGTCTAATGGACTGAGGGGGTTCCAGCAGGAGTGCGCAGGGGCTTAAGGTAGTCTTAGGAGTGACACAAAGATCTAAGACTCTCACACTTAAGCTTTCTAGCTTCCAGAACGAGATGAAATTAAAAACAAGTACGGCGAATTCCTCATAATACTGATTAAGGGACACCTGACCACTTTTCAAAGAAATGGCCATTGTGGGTTTATGAGGAGCCTGGTCTGCTCTTATTTCTTGTCAACAAATATGGTTTTCAAAAGTAAAAAATCAACATAATAGGCAGTAGATTTAGATCTGTTTATCTGAAATGCTTATTTCAAATACTTTTTTTTTCATATTTTAAAGTCTTTGAAAAAAATCTAAATATAATTTATACATTAAACACTTCTAGGTTTGGTATTTGTTTATTTATCCAGAAAACATTAAATACACTGTGCCAACCAATTAGGTTGCAGAATTTTCTTGCACAAAATTATATTCTTTATCTGACTGATGTTCCTTTTTGCTTAATTTTTATATTTGAAACTAGTGATTCAATTAAAATTCCTTCATCAAAAAGATCAATTATACTAATTTCATTCCACAATTTTCACAAAAATTAGTAAATACAGCTGTACATAATAATATTATGCCTTCAAGAACATTGACTTATTTTTCATATATTATATATATCATACATTTTGTACTTTACAACTGACCAACACTACTGAAAACAGTCTCTAGTAATCACACATGATCTGTGTTACAAACTTTTTTTTTTGCAATAATAAGAATTGGAAATATATTTAATCAGAATCTATGGAACTGAACATGGATTCGAGTCAATTCTGTCAAAACAAGTCAAACGTTCTGGTAAGATGTGATGTGTATCAGCAGTGAGGAAATCTAAACTAGTCAGCAGCCAGGTAGTAAACTAGTCTAACTATTAGCAAGTTCACTAGCCAGCTACACAGCCTAATATATAGATACCTCATTGAATGACCAATTTTATATGGATTTTCTGTATTTTAGATATAAGATAAGATATAAAATACTGTATTTGTATTTTTACAATAAATAATTGAGGTACTTTGTTTAATTTTAAATACATTTTCATGCATTTGTTCCCATCTCGGTTCATAAAATTAGTTTGCAGTTCAGAAAAAAACATACTTGCTTATAGTCTAATATTCTGGTCTCTAGATATGGTTCAGGTCCCTCCAATTCATAAACTTATGATTGATTGATTGATTGATTGATTGATTGATTGATTGATTTGCCAATTTTATTGTCCTGCAAATTCAAGTCTGATCACTTATTTCTTTAGCACAAATGTTTGCAAGGCAGGACTAGTTATGTGCTGATTACTTTATCAAATCACTAACCCTAAATATAAGCAAAAGCAACAGTGATGCCTTGGTAATACCAGCAGTTCAGTTCAACAGATGTAGTGGGTTACAAAAGAAAATGAATTATGGTCTCAGGACAGGATGAGAATCCTGATTGTAGTCATCCAGTGTATACAGTTAATCCAGGTTCACTCCCTTTCAATGACTTACTGCATCAAAGCGGCACTCGGGTGTGCAAAATCATGAAATACGACCAAAAGCTTTCTTTTTCGGTTCAAATTGACCAAAATGGTAGCTATTTGTCTGAAGCAATAAAGTTGCAGGTGCTAAAGAGATAAATCAATAAGAGGAAATAGAGAGGCCCAGCAGTAGACATAGAGTTGAGCTGCCAATGGTGGCGTTATTGATTTTCCTGAGTTCAACAGGCCTTGTAATTAAAATGTAAATTTTGAGAGAGATAACGTCCTGACAGGAACGCTGGGATAAAGGGATAGATAAAAGCTATGTTGTGAAAGGAGCAGGGAGAGAGAAAGGAGGAGAGGAACAGACAAAATGCTTTTCAAATTAAAGTGTTTCTCTGGATGAGCGAGCTGATGTGATTTTGAAAAAAGAAAGGGAAGGATTAGCCAGGGATGAGCTCGAATCCTGTGACAGGTTGATGTAATATTAAATGAAACTGCTGATGGTAACTTGCACTGATTGATAAATTTGAAATGATGGAGTTAACTTGGCAGTAAATCAGAATTCTTTTTTTCTGAGTCCCGTTTTAGGAGTATTATACTGTGAACGGTTGCACTCTCAATGCACAATTTCCATTTTCAATCTATATTCCTCCACATGTAGAGTGCATCAAAAAAAAGAAAACATCTTTTCACATTTTTCAATAGAAAAATGACATACACGTCTCCAAATGAGCCTCACATCTGATTTACTGTGGTACAACATTACTAGTTTAAGGTAAGCATCAATATTACTATTGCTCATATTTGGGGGTTAAGGACTAGAACAACCATAAGTATTAAACTTCAGCACATCCTGCATTCGTTGTCCTACATGAAGGATATTTCAGAATGTGCACTGTTAAAGAAAATTATTACTTTTCTAAGTGATCATAAAGACCTGGGCATGGGATCTTTTGATTTGGGCAGAAATGTAAAACAGAGTCGCTTTAAAGCCATGATAATACATAACACCTAATAGAGATGGTAACATGTGAGGGAATTAAGGGACTATGAGCCTATTTTTCTTGGTTTACTCAAACATTTGCATTTTACTTTGAAAATGCTATAAAAACTACTGTAGCAAAACATTTCCTATTTTTTGTTATTCTCAAAACGACGCTTGTTTGCTGACAGTTTACAAAGAATGTCTGCAATTCTCTCCTGGCTGATTAACACTCAGATGGGATATTCACTGTGGCCTCAGGATATTCCAGAGATTTACAGCACTATGAACGGCAAACTCTGCAGTAACGTGGGACATCTTAACATTTTAATTCAAAGCCTTAATAGAATTTCCAGTTGACCAAATCCAATTTTTTTTCTAGTGGTAGTCTATCTGAGCATTGTCCCAGCTAACTGTGACTGCATAAAATAATAGTTGTTATGTTAAACAGAATTTTTCCAGCATCTGTCTGCACGCAAATGAGATAATAATAATTATTTGCGATGGTTCAGAAAGTAGGCCTACATGGTACTATTGACAAGCCAAAATAAACTAAAGCTGCTGGTGGATGCCCACTTAATATTGGGTATCTTAGTCTTGGCTAGAGATGGTGAGGTTGAGTTGTTACTGATTGCATCTTTGTGCAGGTTGCTCTACAAAAGAGCAGGGCGAACAAGGTGATACGATTTTTCCTCTGAAGTTCACATCATGCAATCACTGTAAGGAGATCAAGTCAACACGAGGCACCGGATAAACCCATCTTAAATGTGATTCAAACCAGATCGAGGCTTTAAGTACCTTTGACTAGAAGAGAAGTTATGGTTTCTCTGATCTTATGTGTATCTATGATCAAGGTAAGCTGAAAAGCTTTCATAAATCTCAGGGTTTGGAGAAAGTATCAAAGACAAATGCTCAAATTTGATCATGTCATATTATGTTAATGCAAAAACCAATTTTGCACTTTTAACATTTATATGATTTTTACAAATGTATAATACTCTATGGGGGAAAAAGTATATATATATATATGTCTAACTTGTGTTTCAGTTAACTAGTTTTCATTTGAAATAAGCAATCGTGTGTATGTCTTATTGGATATAATTAAATTGTAAGCAACATTTTTGTCAGTATATACCAGCCATCAGCCACAATACTCTCTAGACACTGGTATTTGTATCAGCCTTTAAAAAACCCACAACTGATCAACCAATAGATCGGAAATATCATCAATGTCCGTACCACAATGCAGGGAATTTAAGGGCCAAAGTTTAATATCTATAGTTACTAACGCCAAGTATGTTCAATAGTAAAAGTGATGACTTGGCAAACACAACTAATTAAAAAAAATAAAGCATAATCGCACTGTAGGTGTCTTTAAGTGCTGAAGACGATGGTGACTGGCTCATGGCTTCAGGAGGCAGGTGAGCTTTATTCTGCTCTCCCTCCGAGCATCTACTGCTGCCATCTGCACCTGCTCATACATCACTCGCGCTGTAAGTTTTGTTATCACTCTAACACTAATCAAAAGAGAAAACTGTCACCGCCACTGACCTGTGGAACCTCCCAATTATGCTCTTCAAGAGTGACAGCAGCACTTAACTTCCACTGCCAGGTAAATGACCACCATCAATCTAAACAGAATAGCAATGAACCACCGGGCTGCAAATGATTTTTTTTTTTTGGTACAGAAATCCCCAGCCTGGAATTTATGAAAGGTGAAAAGCAACTCAAGGCTATTTTACCCCCCTCCTCCTGGGCCCCACTCCTTAGCTGAGGGTGTTCAGACTCGCAGGCCTGGGGAGACGACGTCTGCATTAGTGCTAAACAGAATTTATGCCTTTTAATTTACTCAAAAGGTGCTTAAGCGGCCCGTGCGCTACAATGCATAACAGAATGCCAGTTTTTAAATATGGGGGTCGTTGGTATAAAATGGTATATATAATCTGTGTGCCCTTCCTTTTCGAGGGCAATGCTAAAGTGTACGGCTCTAGTGTGCCTTTCCATTTTTTCTGTCTAATTGTCTCCATGATTACCTCAATATAAAGTACTAAAGATTGTAGCTTGCTTTGCTTTCGTTCATTTTTTTTTTCTTTTTCATTATTGCAGGCAGGCTATGTTGACAATTCCATATTGAGGTATAAACTGTCTTTGCATGAGGTCTCAATTACGTGCACTGGTGGTGTTGGTTCAGAAATGAGCCCTCTACGGTGAACACAGAACACATCTGTGTGTTTTCAGTGGTTATGAAATTAAATAATCCCTTAAATAATCCCTTAATTTTTCAATTCTCTGTGTGTATATGCTGTACATGTGGAAGAATTGACAATAAAGCAGACTTGACTTGACTTGACTTAATTTCATACTCAAGTCCTATAGTCTCCACCTAAAATTTGTAATGCAATGAAAATTGATCATTTAAAAGTCAACATGATATCAAAATTATCCTATTTATGTGTTAGCTTGCTCCAAGTCTTTCTATTACAGTAGATATCAAATAACCCTCTTACTTTTAATCCCTCTCCTCCAAACACTCCTAGTCCATACTCCTAGTTTGTAACACCTACTTTTCACTGTGTAACCCACTACATTTTTATCTGAATATCCTGATTCATCCATAAATGTATCAGATTACGATTAATTTCAGATCAAGGTTGATCAGTATGTTTATTGCGGCCCTTATACTCAAGCTAAATACATTATAAGGGTTTTTTCGCTACACACAAACTGCATAGTTCACCCACTCTCTGTACCACTGTCTACAAGCTACTTTTAATTGTGACCCACCCAATGAGAAGTTGGTAATTTTCCAAATGGATGTAATTTATTAAACGCAAAAAATAGTTATTACACTAACTTAATATATTTAGTTAAAAAAATAATTACAATTTTCATGGTCAATTGCAGGCAGTTTCTTAATTTTCCCTCTCATACCATACACTTGTCAAAATGCTGATTTGTCTTATTTCTGTTAATCCCACCCACAATGTTATGTTTATGACATAAAGACATAATTGTAAGATGCATGAGTTTGTGGAGTTGAATTTGAAAATAGTGAAACAAATATCAGTCCATTTTTTAAAAACTATATATTTGATATCCCAATTGAAATTGAAGTCTTAGTAATGAATCCGGACCATCTACAATTGAAACCAGACCATCTGCGGGTGATGGATTTATCGATCAGAAACTTCTAAGCCAAGCGCGTTTGAAACATCATATTAGTATATGTACAGTGTTTGATTAGCTAAATACATGCGTCTTTTGTAGAAAGAAACATAAACAATGTGCTTGTTTATGTTGTTTATGTTGCTTGTTTATTAAAGTTAATGTACTGTTCTCCACAACAACTGCACACTTGCACGGTCCTCAATGTTTACAATGTTTATTGTAATATTTTACAATAAACTTACTTTAGATAACGTTAAAGCATTAACCAACATTTGTTACAATATTTATTAACCTTTATTAACATGAGTTAATAAAAATACAACTGTTCATTGTTATTTTCTGTTACTAATGTTAACAGATACAACTTTTAATTTTACATATGTATTAGTAAATGTTAAATTAACATTAATGTTAATCAATGCATTAGAAGTATTGTGTAGAAGTATATTGTTAGTTTATGTTAACGTTAACAAATTAAACTTATTGTAAAGTGTTATAGGTGACTACATACATTTGTCATTATACAAGACAGAAAATAGGCATTTTATTGTTTGTTTTTTTCAGAGATGTATATGGGCTGTTTTGTTATTTTCAGTTTTGAAACTTTGTGCTGCGTTATATTTTCTGTTGGAAATTTGTGCCCACCGTTTTATGTAGGCCCACCCACTTAACATTTCTTAATGGAAGAGAGATCAAAACAAGCATTTTAGCATGGATAGAAATGGATGGGCACACTTTTTCTTATTAACTATGGATGAATGGCACTTAACTACATTTTTAAACAGAACAAGACTTGAACAAGAACTTGTCACTCTTTTTTAAACAAGATTGTTAAATGCTATTTGTGTTTTCTAGATATTAAAAAAAAAAAAAAAAAAATTATAAGATTTTGAAGAGGTGATTTTAGTTCACTGAATGTATTGCATCCAAGCAACTTAAAAAAGTGCTAGGAGTTTTGAGCTAAGAGTTTTGAAAAATGACATCAATGTTCTAATATTAGCGCCAAAGTGATTGTTAAAAACAAACTACGACTGTACTATTTCACCCATATCCTGTAAATGTATTGCCACCTTTTACTTTTCCCAAGTCTTAAAGAATACTCTAGCAATTCATTAACCACTTCTGACAAGGCTTTTGTAGTCAAGAGGTTATGAATTAAAATGATTTATTTATTGAGGTAAATATTTAGGCTGTTGATTTATTTTTACAGTATTATATCTAAGCTTAACTATTCCAGGATATTGTTCATTTAATTTACAATATGTCCTGGGAGCTATCACTCAGTGTTTAACCAGCATATAAAGTATTTGCTTAACATAGTTTCTCAGGAAATGTTGATTCTTGGTGGAGCTGTGAAATCTTAAACAT